ACGTTTAAAATAATTTTTAACGCATTATCACATTACGTAAACAATTTGTTGAGAAAATATTCCGTATTTTTACTAATACAAGAGTAATGATACGGAGAGCAAATATGAATTAATGACTGATACAGTAAACGCTGTCAATATACTATCCATTGTATATTAATTGTGGCTTTTATTTTTACCTTCAAATGTTAGGCCTATTTAGTATCCCGAAACTTCTGTTTGACGGATCGTGCGCAAAGAGTCAACACACTTGTTTTACTATGTTATGGCATCGCCTAACCTATGCTAACTATAGGGAAGGTAATTGACAATTGCACTTACTATAATAGTCAATAATAGTAAAAAATAGTTTTACACTAACAAGAATCTACAAAATATTGGACGAGGACTTGTCACGCTACAGAAGCAACACATGTGTGAATTCATTATTCAAATTAGTTATTACAGTACAATGGAAGAAGCTAGCAAATCTGATATTATTTTTGGCTCTCAAAAGTTGGGAGGATGACAAAAGACAGAAGACATTTCCCAAAGTCATTTAAACGATTGCCTTTATTTTTTCTGGCGGCCTTTTGCGAGTAGTAATAATATTAGATACATTTACATAAACTCTACATACATAACGAGTTTCTTTTAAAATGAATGTTTGATAAAGCTTCCGGTCAATGAAATGTGATGCTCTCATTGCTTAATATAGTGAGACAATAGAAATCGCAAGGGGTGTGATTTAAAACGACAGGGTAGCATGACATAGCTTTCGGAAATGCCAGAGTAGTGCAACGATCCAAAATTGATGTGGACTAAAAGCAGTGGATAATGCAATCAGTGAGTTATTGAATATGCAGCAGGAACCGAATTAATTGACAGACAATAAAATACAATTGCCTTTCGGATTTCAATTAAGAATGCAGGTGTTTACAAAATTGCACCAACAGGTGAGTTAACGGAGCATTACAAAGGCTGATTCATTAGGACACTGGTATCGATTCGTTAACCCGGATATTGAGCATCGCATCTTAGGGGAACACTGTTTAACGTTAGCCCGGCGACCAACACTGTGAATCGTTGGCGTTTTGTTCGTTCGGCTCGCGTCAATCAGTGTGTACCTATTCAGCATGACGTTTCTTTCAAATGCAATGCCATTGGTTTGTATTACGCACACGTGCTCCATGTACTTAGGCAGACAAAATGATTTCATGAACACGCCTCTTTAGAGAGGCTTAGGGAGTGGCGTTCTTTATAAAAGTCCTGTTGCTGTCTCTTATACACATCTAGATGTGTATAAGAGACAGCGCCACTGCTGGTAAACAATTGTATAGAACACAACATTTTAAGACACTGCGCATTTAAGTACCCATTGTTTTGTGACGTTTTGCGCTAGAAGGAATTTATAATATTGTAATTATTATGTATTTATGGACGTATAAATACCGCAATCGCGTATGTAAAACTATACATTTGGCGTGTAGGCTGATATTGTTAGTGGTTTATTGGTTTAATAGCTCTATGGTTTATGCAAAGGTTTCTAGTTATTTTATTTATTGTATTCTTTCAATCTCGCTCAAATTCTAATTGTCATTGTTTGCTATTGCTATATTTAAAAAAATTGTAATTGATTGACCAGCTAAACATAAAGCTTCTGATTTTAACTTCACTATTAAACAGGCTATACTATCTTATAAACAAAATTTGCGAAAACTTTCACAACTGTTCATAAATAACAGTCAACTTATAAACTTGTTCAGGCCTTAGATCTATCACGACTGTATTATTAAAATGATGTCTATGGGAACTAATGAAGAAATTACATCATGTAACAGCAAGACATAATTGCTCTTATTCCTAAATGTAAAATTTAATAATTTTCCTGCATAGTCTCCATTGCTTACATATTTATGTTGGAAAAACACCAAAGATCAAGCAACGGATCAAGTCACTCCATCCTTGCATCAAAGTAGCCTAGAGTTGCTGTCTTTTTAAAGCCGTGCTTCAGAGCACCTAATTATGTCAAACGCTCTACCCATGATTGCGTCGACAAATGGCTAAAGACTAAAGCAGCTGAATTATTATTGTCATTGTTAACGTAGGTTATTGATTGCTTTTTTTACGTAACATTTATTTTCCAATACATTCCCGTCCTCATCAAAGCGTAATCAAGGCAACACTGACTTCTAAAAATGCTAAAATTAACAATTAGATATGCATTATGATTCATGAAAGTGTACTAAAAGACACATCATCAACAGGTAAACATCTTTTTTATAAGTTTAAATTCGACCAGTTAGTTACCCATCATCCACCTCTTCTTCAAGTTGTTCTGGAAGGATTAATTCGCTTCTTCCTGAGTTGTTTAAATCCGTCTGCCAACATCAGTATCGATGACGGTTTTGTTATCTGTTCAGTAATAATTTACCTTCTAATACCCATGCAGTGTTCTCCAAAATACTACTATAATTGAGCTTTAAATAGATTTCCACCACTGCTGTTAAGACTTCTTCGTCAACTTTCGTTTCCTCTACGGTGCTGGAAGCTCAGGTCGATCGTTTTTCCCTGCCAAAGTACAGTCCATGTCCGTGTATTTCCCTTTCCGTGCAAGCGATTTCGAATGTGAAAAACGAGTGAGTTGTGATCAAAATGATGGAATACACAAAGAAATGAATACTTAATGCATTGTTCAATCTCATAGAATCGTAGATAGACCTTATTATGAACCTCAGATCAACAATGGCTGACATCTCGTGACGATCTGGTTGTCACCTTATATGCATCTATATGTGTATCTAAAGATTATGTGAATCGTACTGCAAAGGTGGGTTGTGAGCCTAATCCAAAATCCCACATGCAATTTGCTACAATTATACTATAACGATACAGAGATCTGTACATCACCACATAATGTTATAAAATGAAAGTAGAGACATCAATTATACAGCAAAAATATATAAAAACCGGAGAGGATTTTTCAAAACAAGGCAAGTTACTGTCTACAAGAGAAACAGTTACTCTGTCTAAAGATTTGTTTGTGTATTGGCCTGATAATTAGACGTCGACTAGCCCACTCTTCACCAACACCCTCAATATACTGTACACGTGACACATAATTTGATATTATTGCTCTTTCTAGGACTGATGTTGATGTTTTCACTGATATTTGTAGAATTGGTGTTGACGATCTTCCCTTTGCTTGCTAAAAAGATCTTGCATCATTCTCTCACAATGAAAAGCCCTTTCCCATTGTTCAAAATATTCTGAGAATTTTTTCTGAATTATCTTCTTTTACGTTTCAATTACAATATGGAACACTTTATAAACCAAGTCCTCTTTAGAGAGGCTTAGGGAGTGGCGTTCTTTATAAAAGTCCTGTTGTCACAGGAATTAAGCAAGGACTTTTTGCTTAGAAGGCAAGCCTCAAAATGATAAGCTACGGTATCCTATATTTTTTTCTCATTCCTGATGATGACATAATTAATGTCGGAATATTGAATCCCGACACGATGGCGTGCATTTCGATACTTAGAGTATGTATTATCCTATCCTATATCAATTAGCATAATTTGTAGAATTGTCTTTCCTGTGCACTGCAGAAAAATGGGCTTCCTCCAATTATCACTTCAACAAATTTAGTAAACAAACCTCAAGGATACTGTATTCTACAACAGTGACGTCTGCTACCTCTTTCATAACACGTGGAGGTCGCCCATTCTGAACCAGCATATTTTGGAGGACTTAACGTTGTTAATTTCACAGGAAAAGAAGAAATCTTTTAGCATGCAAGTCTTCATTTCATAATTGTTTGTTGTTAGTGCCATATCTTTCTCAGATGGCTGACCCCAATTTTATTTTGGTCTTGTCACTGTATTCACTTTCACATAGTTACTTTTAAAAATTTCGCTTTCTATTTCTCATAATCGTTGTTGTGTCTGGTAGCAGAACAATGCCGCAATGCATGATACATTTCCATACTTAAATTGTTGACGCCTATTCAAGGAATGTTTGTCTCTTCATTAAAATATACAAGCACATACATTTTTATTGTAGGTAAGAGATACATGCAAAACAACATACTTGAATATAATACTACTTTAATGACTGTATTGGAACTATTTCCTGTGTAAAGCTGGAAATAAACCAAAACTGATCTTAGTGCCTACACACAATGATGTGCAGTACTTTACCTAAATTCCTTGTCAGAAACCAGAAAAGCATGCACCATCTTTAATTCGGGTGCACACTGTGTTGGCCAACGAGATTCTATGGACAAGGTGTGCACAACTGATTAAAAACAGTTCGTTCAGATTTTGAAACAGTGTTTTTGTCAAGTGATCACAGGAAGCAGAGATGGATTGGCCAGCCCATGTAGTGTTCACCCTACTTTACACTATGGGGAATGGTATCTTGTTCTACGACTAAAAGAGTTCAATCTAAGTTAGACCTTACAAGTACTCAAATAGCAACAATTAATGAAAAGACATTATAATACCCCACATATAGAAAATCACAGATACTTAAATATAAAAAATATCCTAGAACAGAATCTATTTATACTAAACTGTGGTGAAATTTGGAAACATCCTTAAAAGGCAATTAAAATTAAAATTATTTATTTAATTAAATTTACAGGTCTCCCTCTAATTAAAGACCCCTACAAATAAAGACCACCTTCTGTTCTTTATTTTCTCTGTTCTTTGAATCTCATGCATAATATTTTTCTGCTTTTTCTTTACATTCAGCTTACCTTTTCTTTAATAATAATGAAAATAGGTCGATTTTTAGCCACAAGTAAACAATGTCTCTAAGTGCCATGTCTAAGTATTTATTAAAGCCCAATTTTCTGTGGTCCCATACTAACAAATATCTTTTTTATTTTAGAGACCAAAGATACTAAAGACCATGGAAACCCCAGTCCTAAATGTGGTCTTTAGTTGAAGTAAGACCTGTATTTATAATTGCTCATTAAAAAAAAAGATCAAATAAATTTACAACTTCTAATTCGACACAGATTTACTACAAGAATTCAATGTTTGCTGACTAACAAACTTTTAATTACAAGGAAAAAACTTAAAATTGATTAACAGTCAATTTAAGGGTAACTTAAGACAAGCATATAGAACAGATGTTTTTATATTTCTGTTGACTGGCAATGAAAAAAGATTTATTCTAATTTTTAATGTAACAACTTGCCTACTATACAAAGAAATTCAAATATTGAACTTCATGTAGTTTCTTACCTCAACACAGACAGTATCTTATTTTTAAATTAATATATCCACTTACAGCTTATTACTAATACTTCAACTATTTTATTATATTAAAAATACTTTTCTCCAATAAACTGGAGTACAAGTACTAAGATAAATATCTTGATATTATTAAGACAGTACTAAGGTGTCTGATACAGACACTTACAGTATAAACAAGTTTGTTTTACTCTTTTTAAATACTAGGTAATCATAATTAAAAATATACTTAATTAACTATAATGATTATTCATAATTAAGTATACTATATACTTCATTATGAATTATAAAAATCATTGATAATTAAGTATATTATATATCACCTACAATGTACATATCTAAAATATTATTGTTAATCATTGTCAATATTGGGTATTACAAGTGAAATGATATAAATATATAACAACAATAATAATAATAGTATACTACATAAGGGATTATGGAGGTGTTTAAAAACACATGCAGATATGGGGAATAATATAATACATGACAGGGGGCACAGTGCAGCCTGTCGGCCTCATGTTGCCCAATGGCAATTTTATTGTAGCCCATGAAAATATATTAAATATCATGTGTGTAGCTTGCCTACCGCCTGTGGTTAGAAAACCCCCCTGTAGTTACAGCCCGATATTGAACATCTGTAAAACTCAACAATAAAACTGAAAATAAAACTTTTTGGTGTATGTAGTTTATGCAAGTACATTGGAAATGTCAAATTTCAACCATAATTACTTGTGGCTCTCAGTGTTACACCAAAAATCCAGTTTGCCCCTCTACCCATTTTTAGGCCCACCCCTGCAATAAACCATACCACTGAAATATTCAATTTTCACTTGTGAGCCTGCCACCTGTGTGTCATTGTAATTAAGTATGAAAATTATATAAATTCCAATATTTTACCTATAATTATAACTATAATTGTTTTTCAGATGATAACTTGTTATTAGCTAACATCTCATACAGAAACACACAATAAATCTGGTACACAGACCATAATTAATCCTTTATATAATTATTACAATAATATTTTATAATAATTATTTTCTATAATTATGTACAAAGCAGAAGCATAGGTTTTGACATTAAATCCCCAGTCTCCATTTCTACATTCTCATAAATACAAATTGCATTTGCATCCACTATATTTTCCTTTTCATTATTCAGCAATATTGTGCAAGACAGTGTTACATACAGGCCCATTAATCGAACTCAAATGAAAAATAGTTTGGAAATAATTTATGCGACTTTATTGATGGCAGCCTATCTTTCCACTGCAAGTTCATAGAATCAACTGTTTTAATAAAGAACATAACGTACAATCGATTATGGCGCACAACAGTAGTCATTTTATGGAGTAACAATGCGCATCTTCTACAGTATTTTTCTGATTAATCATTGAAAATATTAAAACAGCAGGAAGTCACAGCCCAACTAACACAATACATATGGTTTGGTACGTTACAAAATAGCATTCACACAATGTTTTAGGAGCGTTCAAACTTTATGACGTTGCAAAATTAGATTATAATCATGTACTTAATATGGTTCTATGCAAATAATGTTTTTAACACCAAACTGTAATGTTATTGTAACATTCTTATAATGTAATATTGTTGCCTGGGAGAGTGAGCATTGTTCAAGATAATGATAAACGTCAACCACTGTAAGGCTATTAGATATAGCTGTTTACGCTAAACGTGATATTGTATTTCATTTGGCATTTAATCTACATGACACATTCAAATTCTGTTCCAATGTGAACAACAAACAATACATTCCAGATGATCTACAAACTTGGAATCAAATCAATCAGTGTAGCAATATAACATAGCAACATACTGTAATGTGTTATTTCCACAAATAAGATAAATGATGATAAGCATAGTATTCAAGTTAAACTTGAATTAATTCTATTGTACTGAGAACATGATATTCCATTAGCAAACCAGGGTAAAATATGCAGAAGTGATAATAGATGGATAGATTCAAATCTTCAAATTTGGAAGTCAACCATGAATTCATAATTCCGTAACCACATATCTATCCAGTTTGTTAATTGTCAAAAAATGGGATATGTTGTCAGAGCCATTGGCTAGATTCACATTCTCGCTCCGTTATTTACAACTGTTTTGCACGGACAACAAGAGGCTGTGTTTATTCTAGCAGGTCACGCCATTTAAATGTTTATATCCTTAATGTTTTTGTACGTCCTGGTATGGTTTACGTTTCAATTGTAAAACACAGACATCCTCTACAAAATACTATCCCATGATACAAAGTAATCCACACAGCGACACAAAATGTTATCTGTTACTGCATGGTATTATTTCCATGTTGAGTCTTTCAAGTATTCATTTCCTTTCTGTAGGGAAAAAAAAGTTGAATAATGTAGAAAAATATAATTTAACAGTTGAAAAAAATTTGAGTGGTCAGCATAGTGGACTGGTTGGTGCATCGAAAATGGACAGCACAGTGGGACAGGTCATTGTAGTAGAATTGATTGGTGCAGTGAAAGCAGTTGGTGCAGTGGGAGCGGTCAATGCTTTGAGAGTGGACAGCATATTAGTTGGCATAGTGGAATTGGTTGGTGCAGTGAAAGTGGTCAGTGCAGTGGGAGCGGTCAGTTTAATGAGAGGAGACGGCCCTGCAGTTGGTGTAGTGGAATTGGTTGGTGTAGTGGAATTGGTTGGTGCAGTGAAAGCGGTCGGTGCAGTGGGAGCGGTCAGTTTAATAAGAGGAGATGGCCCTGCAGTTGGCGTAGTGGAATTGTTTGGTGCTGTGAAAGCGGTCGGTGCAGTGGGAGCGGTCAGTTTAATGAGAGGAGACGGCTCTGCATTTGGCGTAGTGAAATTGGTTGGTGCAGTGAAAGCGGTCGGTGCAATGGGAGCGGTCAGTTTAATGAGAGGAGACGGCCCTGCAGATGGTGTAGTGGAATTGGTTGGTGCAGTGAAAGCGGTCAGTTTAATAAGAGGAGATGGCCCTGCAGTTGGCGTAGTGGAATTGGTTGGTGCTGTGAAAGCGGTCGGTGCAGTGGGAACGGTCAGTTTAATGAGAGCAGATGGCGCAACAGTTGGTGTAGTGGAACCGGTTGGTGCAGTGAAAGCAGTCAGTTCAATGAGAGTAGACTGAGACAGTGCAGTGGTCGACCTAGTGGAAAGTGTTGGTGTAGTGTAGTAGGTGTAGTGGAGTCGGTAGTGGTTGGCATAGCGGCTTTGGTCTGAAGATACAGATGGGAAATTAATGTAATGAAATGGAAACAGTTGGCAGGTGGACGTTTGGGTTTATAATCTTAAGGGTACGGGTCTTAATAAAACATGCTGGCTATTGCATTTAGGTTTACATGTTACACTTTTTAAGTTTGTCTCTCTTCTGATTAGATGTTGCAAATTTTACTGACTGTATGCTATTGAGGAAGGGGGTGGGGTGGATGTTGGGGTGGAAGTTGCACATGTATGTTTTCAAAAAATTACCAGAAACATTATATTTATTTGTTATGAAGGTTGATATGGTATTAGCTGTATGACTAACAAATCAAGGTAGCCTAGTGTTTGGTGACATACCTGTGTCCAGACCTTCGATGCAAGCTGCATATTAACTGCCAAAGTTCATTGTTGGATACTTCTGTTAGATAATCTGTACAAAGCTCCCAGTCAAGAGCATGAGCTAGCTCCTCTGTTGCCATGTTGCTACAATCCCTTTAAAATACAAATGAAATAAGCAAACATGAATATTCATAATAATGATAATGCTGAGTGTGAAACAGGAATGGGAGTCATAGGCAAAGGCACTGGGAGGCACAAGGAAGGGATGCAGGAATAAGAAAGGTACAGAGAGAAGTATAGTGGAATGAAGAATGGAAAAGGAAATGGAAATCAACTTGGATAGTGCCTTACACAATTATAAATCATCTCAAAGCGCTTACAGAAAGTGAAAAAGAATAAAGAAAATAAACCCATCAACCATCCTGAAACTAACCCTCACATTAGATAAGAACATGTGCGTAGGCCAGGGGTGTGGGGATGCAAGGAGCACCCACCTCCCCATGGCAGCAAATTGGTACCACACCCAAGTGGGTTAAAATGCTAAAAATTAGGCTGGACAATGGTGCAGATATACTGGTTTATTTGTTATTAATTTGATTATTATGTAAACTGTTATATGACCACCTTCGCCAACCGTTGGGCCTGCCATGTGCAAGGTGTGCAAACATTAAGAACTGCTGTGATAATGCATTGTAATAACAATAATAATAGTAATCTTAACAGTTCAAGTGAAACTTTACAGTTAATAGGATTCACGGTGGGTACCATAGGGTTGAACGCAAAAATAAGCTGATGCAGCTGCTGCAACGTCATAGAATACTCCCCCAGGGAGCTTGAGTTTGTGTTCCATACGCGTTCAATCAAATGACCGGCGATAAGGAAATGTGAAGTGCATAGAGGGCTTAACAAGCTACCATTATTATTATTATTATATTCTTAATCCCCACTCCCTGAGTAGGGCCCAGTGCAATTCTGCTGGAAGGCCTAATGCTACTGGCCATTGTCCATCTGAAGCCTAGAGACAAAATGAAATACACCAACTAACGCAAATTGTGGTGAAGAATTACAATCAAATTCAATATACAGTACAGTAAACTGAATGAAATGCTAAGTGTGTTTCATTGTTATTTTATTAATCTTTATACTATGTCAACCAGGATACGGAGTGACATTTACACATGGCTTTATATCAAATACAAAGTGACTTTAATACGTTACTTGGAATGTATTAAATGTTAACTATACAAAACTAATAGGTTACCTGTCTCTTAAATCAGGCATTTGCGCAACCAATCGTGAACACTGTGATACAACCCATAGGTCGCAATCCTGTTGACTTTGAACTTCATCAATTTTTGGTCCATAGAGCATCATAGACGTCCTACAAAACAAAATTTGTATATTTATAATAAGTTTTACATTTGCTGAATACATTTCTTTGTTTAATGTTACCACAGTTTTAGTTGTTGAGGTATCATGCTTCCCACATGTGTGTATGTCGCTTCCATCTTAAGATAAGCCAAAGAGGTCTCCTAAAATAAAGCCTACTTCAAAAGAACACTACATACAGCAGGAGGAAACATATGGTGCAAACACTTGATAACAATGCTCTGTGTATTTAAAGAAGCTCAATGTCAAGAGAAAATATAAGAATAGAAAAGATAACGTTGACAAATCAAGAAACAGCATCTTCTGCAAAGTAACAACCCCATGAATTCATGCAAAATTGCCATTGCAGGACAATAAACCCAAGCATTCACTACGTCCAATGGTCGTTGGCCGACATTATTCTATGAAGAATGCAACGCCATGATGTGCATGCAACAGTTCGATTTTAATGATCCGTTCAGACTGCCATTGACAATCACCAGACGGCGTTGCGTCATCTATCGCTCACTGAGAGCGGAATTGGGTTTGGCATACGAGGGTCGTATGACCATCCGTACGACACAGAGAGTGTCAAGCTTAAGAGCAGTTCTAGAAGCTTCAAAGCATGGAAGTATTTCAAAGTCAATTTAAGCACATACAGGCTAAGACCCACGTGAATGGTCATCGGAAGTAACATGTGCATGACATTATATTCTATAATCAAATAGAAAATAATACAGTGCTCATAGAGGAACACATATTCTAGTTCATCAAAGATACTTGCAAGCCAGTACTCAACCTACGAGCCAACTAGTCTCACTTCTTTGAAGCTTAAATCATGTAATCAGAGATAGTAGGTAGTTTTCGCCGCATGACCTTAACCTTAGCGCTAACGGATGACGTCATATTTGAGCATCTTGAATTGCAGAGTACGTTAATTTCAGGATTTTACGTGCTTGACGTATGTTAGTTACGGGTTTGGGCATGCGTATTTCGATTTGTTTACAAAAGGGGCAGAGTGTGTTCGGTACTAACGGTAAAGTTAAGGTTAACATTGTGCGGCGAAAACTACCTATTCATCTAAGCGAACTTATTACATTAGAAACGAAAATGAAGCTAAAACAATAGTCATAAAATGGCCTTTCAGTTTCCTGAAACAAATCAATTCTGCATCATTATTTAAAGTAATTATTGCTAGACCAATTATCAGGAAAATTATTGCCCATATAATTATTAGAAAATACAGATTTGGCAAAAAATGATATTCCACTAATCAAATGCTAAATGATTTTTCATTATCATCCACACAATCCAGTTTTCATCCCTATCAAAAACATTGAATACAACAGTATATGGAAAATTATAATGGTGGAGATTTATATATGGAACAAATTTCAGTGGCCCATGCTAGACAGAAGGTCTTCTGTTGAAGCTTCAGGATATACTGTCTGCCTTTTGAATTTCTTTTGTATAGTTAAGTAAGTTCTTAGATCTTAATTAAAATTATATTAAGAAAATATTTTCCTGGTATATCTAAAGATACTTAAATAATACATAATCTCTTTAACTGTCTCGCAGAAATTTCATGCAAAAGTCTGCAAATCTTTTTTTGAACTTACATTCAATGTACTGACTTTTTCAATACTTTCAAAAGCAGTTCCATGTTTAAAATGAATATTTAAGTATCTGTAAGAATCTAGTAACCTAATATTTATTAATATTATGTCTAGTTGACCTTTAAAATGAAGGTCAGATTATCATCAGTAATAAAATTTAATACCAATGGATAGGACAATCATAGGCAGTTATTTCAATATAAAACTGTAATACATTTCCCTAATTCCAAAGGAGTGTGCACGTACACATGCTGATGATTTTTTTCATTTCATTTACGCAGATGTGGGATGAAATCCCGATTTCTGTTACCGACTTTAATTTTTGCAGTATACATAATTACCTGAAACTTGATTTATCTTCATTTTGTTGTATCTGTTAAACGTTTTTAATATTAATACTTTTGTATACCTGCAATAGTTGGTGTCTTTATATAGTGGATTCATTTTGCTTTTTGACAATCTGCCAGAATAGTGGTCACGGAACCTCTCCTGCGTTCACTGTCATGGTGTTGGTACTTGAGGGAACATGAGGGAACAAGTCAGTTTGCCCCAGGTGTTAATAAAGCATCAGTGGTGGCACCAGGATTTGCGGGGAGGCGCAAAAATGGGGGAGGTCTCCCCGCCCCCTGTACAGTACCAAAGACTAATTTGCTTTCAGTTTTTATATTATTTATTTTTTATTATTTTTTTTTTAAATAAGAAATTCAACAAATGGATTTGTAAGAGAAAAAAAAAAGGTGTTTTTAGTTTTAGACATAAAAGTCTACTACAGGAAAGAAATTATTTCATAATCTGTTAATTAACTGAGAATTTTAAAATTTTAGGTTTATTTACTTCATCATCATCCTAACCTAGTACACTTGCTTGCCTCTTGTAGGCACAGTGCAAATTTAGTAAATTCTTTTATGTGTCAGGACTGAATGTTTGTCAGTTCCGAGTGGTGGTAAATTTAGTGATGAAAGTTGTTTTCTTTGTTTACTTTATACTTAAATATACAAATTAGGCAATCAAAATTTGGAATTTAAGTTTTTAATTATAGCTAATGACAGACCGTACATATTATTAAACCCTAAGAGTAGTATTGGCAACAGAGCAGTAGGTTCATGGGTGCAAGGTGGTTTAAGCATGATGTACTACCAAGCATTACAGTATGTAAACTCAACACCATAGAAAGGAATGGCAAACCCATTGCTTCTAACACTGCTCCACCAGATGGAACATAAAAAAAAGGTTACATACTAGTAAGTTCAATTTGCAGTGAGTGACTATAAAGTTCTAGAAATTAAGTGTACTGTATATTATCTTCATCATTATCTGGCAGTCATTGCTTCGAGCATCTAAATATATAATTCTTGCAAACAATTATTTCTTAACCTTAATATAGCTTCTTTCACAGTAGGTCTATCCTGGGGATCCTTAGCAAACATCTCCTGTAACAGATCAGTGAAAGGTTTGGAATATCCAGCAGGAACAACCCGCCAGTCTGTCATACCACAATGAGCAATCATATTTGGCGTAGACTGTGGCTCTGGCCTTTCGTGTTTCATCAGGGTGAAGACCATTCTTCCTAAGTTATAGATGTCCGTACTCTCATACACTTGAGTCAAGAATACCTGAAGAACAAACAAAAAATTGTTATAATAATAATTAAAAATATATCAATAATCTATAATAATAATGCCAACCCAGTATAATATATTTCGCAAAATATCTACCACAATAAAATGAGATACAACAATTATTAAAAAGAAATCTTTATGAAGCATAAAATGCACACTGCAATTATAAAGATTTTCATTTAATTTTTTTTCTTTTATAGTTCTCTTGTTTCTTTGTTGAAAATGTTTTAACCTTGCAGTTCATATATTCTAAAATATAAATATTGCTGAACTTGTTTGTAAAAACTAGCCATAAGATAATATTTACAAACCATTCAATATTATTTTTAATATCTTTTACATCTTTATTCTACTTTTACATTATGTTCACTGTCTCTTTTGTATACTTGGGCCTGGCGCTTAGAGACCTTGTTTATTTGCACCTTCTAAATTTACTTTCATTATTATAGTAAGGGACACACATGACAATTCAAACATCACTTTGAAAGTTTACACTGTGAAGATAAAACTTGGTAAACAGTTTGTTTATCTATCTTGACAGGCATCTCTCCTATCAGAAGCAGTTGACTTTCATATTGAGTGAAAGCATGTTATCTAAATATTACTTTACCACAGCAAGTTTACAAATGTAAAAAAGTTATAAGTAATGGTCAACATCAATGAAGAGTCCCTTTTTCAGTTGTATGGTAAGAGAGTGTCATACCATTAGACCACAAAGACCTACATGGTATAGCAGCAGTTTTAACCCTGAGGTATGTTCTCTGGTACAACTGACATACATGATCACACATAGTGGATCCATGTATAACCTAGAAACTAGTTTGTGTGTCACAGCTAGAAAACCAAAATAATATTCAAATTAGGCTTTGCTGTACATGTAGCAGTATAGATACTAATAATAATAATACCAAGGCTTGAATAGGAACATGTGATGTCAGATGGCTGAGAGGTAATGTTCCTGCTTCTTGTGCTGAAACCCCAGTTCAATCCTGGATAGTGTTGGGTTTTAATTGGAGTATGATCGCTTGGCTCCTAATATAACCCTCATATTGTGAGTAAACAGGGTTAAGGACAATGTTTGTATCCATCTATGTCCTTTATTTGTTGTAGTAAAGTCGGGTGGCACTGCGCAGCAGCTGCTGCAGGTCCCCAGCCCAAATTTCCATTTTTTCCAATTCAATGATTATTAATAAAGAAATATTATTAATATTATTATTATTCATTTAAGTTGATTGGTACAGCATGACCATACATTGTTTTGGTTTGTTTCTTTCAAATCTGATAATGTATTTCTTTGGGATGTTTTTTGTTTGTTTATATATATAGTCTTTAGTGTTTATATATATAGTGTTCTGTGTTTTTATATATATAGTGTTTAGTGTTTATAAATATATTTATTTTATTTATTTTTTATTTAGTTTAAATTTTATTATTATTATTATAAATGTTATATGACTGTGTTATATATGTACTTATATACAGTAAGTAAGTGTGCAAACACAACACAAGGATACACAAAATGAAAGGAAAATGATTTAAAATACTGCTTCTGTTTGAAAATCATGCTTTTCTACCAGCTCTAACCTGACACATTTGAAACAAATCAGCTTTGTAGAAGTGCTCGTTCACCTATTTTGTCCTTGCCATATACTGTTTTTTTTTCTGTTATTGTAGTTTATATAATTACTAGTGAAAATTGAATAAACTAAACTGAACTTTAAACTTTCTTTTTGTGTTTGGTAAATGGTAAAAATGTAAATAGTAGTCTGAAGCTAACCATATAAGGAAATACAGTACTTTCATATATTGCTTTCTCAATGCAAACTAACCTTCCTCTCCCAAGACTTTGGTGGACCATCTTTCTCCCACTTTTTCAACTCTGGTGTCCATGCCCATGGATTACCTGCACCAATCTGGCAACTTTTAGAAAACTGAATTGGTTGTCCACTCGGTCCTGTCAATTTCATTGCCATTCGAAACCCACCCAGCACAACTTGTAAACTTTCTGTGATGTAAACGCAATCTGGTTTGATATCCCTGTGGGCAATACTGTTATCCTGCAGATGGGCAAGAGCTTTGAGGATCTGTAGTAGGACCTGCTGAAAGAAATTCTCAGAGAGCGCATATGGTACAGAAAGATTCTGTTGTTGGACTCCCATTAGCTTGCACAATGTCATAAGATATTCGGGCATAATTGCAATCGTGGTTTTTTGATCCCTTATGTGACTGAAGTTTGAATCAAGTTTTCTGAGAGGAATCTCATAGTGATGTAGCACAGAAACTAGGTTTGAATGTGGTGGCAGACGCAAAAGGACCTCTTGCTCATTTCTCACTGGGTTAAATGAACGGTAGTCTGCATTCCTGCCAGGAAAATGAATATTTTGAACATCGGGCTCATTTGGCATAACCTGAAACAAATGAAATAAAAGTTCGTAAACTGTACACAGGTATAAAACTCAACATCAACTAATAATAATTTCAAATGTAAAATCTTAACCAATAAAGTATCAAATGCAAAACAAAGTGTACTGTAAATACAAACAGGCAGGCAAAATTCTACATGGAGTAAATGCATTCGTGGTAAAATTCACATTCCCTCTGGAATTAAACACAAGCTGCATTAGCACCAGTTGCAATATCAACAAGAAATGTAACGATGTTCAAAGGACAATACAAAACACTTTACCTTCATAATATATTTTTTATCATGATGAAGAATTTCAAATGCTACTGATGTATGTCTAGTTAAGAGAATATTGACTGTTTTGGAAAATTGTCCCTTCTTTACAATTTTGTACTGGTGACCCATAGTCCACACCTGTCCAGGTCTATCCAGTTTGCAGTTACGCCATTTCTTAAGACTAATCTTTCCACTTTTCAACCGATCTAATAGTTTTGTTTGGTACAGTTGCAGAGTAACGGAGGACATGTCTTCTAAACTGCTGCTCATAATCGGGAATAAATTTGTGTCTCTTGAGGAAAACATCTTGCCAATCCCAGAGATTGCCTTGATGAGCTGCAGGCCAAAGTCTGCACTCTTTGCTGCACTCGCTATGTTATGTGGAGTTTGCGAATTATCTCCTGGGCTAGCTGAGAGGTTATTTAGCGGGTTTTGTATATTGGATTTTTTAGCCAAAGCATTTTCAAGTTGTTTATTTTTTTGTTCAGACTTAGATAGCGCTTGTTTTGTAAGGGAAAGCTCATTTTTGACACGTTGCAGAGAGTTGCTCTCCATAGTTGTAAGAGATAATGAACTGTCCTCAAAATATCTTTTCTCTGCAACATTTGCAATTTTAGATTTCAAAGCATCCTTTTCAGACTCTGCCATTGCAAGTTTCAATTGAAGGTCATCGATAATTCCTTTGGCTTCCTGATTAGTCATCTGCATGGCATACATGTAACTTCCAGGCGAACCGCCCTCTCTTTGTTTATTTGAGGTAGTTATCTTCTCTGATGGTGAGGGTGGGGCAGAAAATGTCTTTTGAACTGGCATGTTTCGTGAAGGAACCGCAGGCAATAAATCTCTTGTATCACCAAACACTGGGTCTGTTCTCATTGGTAAGTTTCCAAATCCAACACTATTCCCCATTATGTTAGGCCTACATAAGAGAAATCAATTAAGGTAGTGAATATCAAATAATATATATTGAATAGTAAGCAATTTTCAACAGATAAACAATGGAATAAAAATAAAGCCTAATGAATTACATAAATAAGAAAAATATTGATAATATTAACTATTTGTGTGTAATATTTAGACAGAAATATAGCAATTGTGGAGTCCTACGTAATATTGAAATTTGCTGCCATTTTGAATTCCTGATCACTGTTAGAATAGCCAGTAGAGGGCAGTCTTCCTACAGCCGTTTTCCGGTTTGGTTGGTATTGAGGGTAGGAAGCTGCCAAGCGGCCTATAAAAAGCAATTAAAGTGATTATAATGTTGACTTTCATATGAAATGGCAACTTATAATTATTTATAGTTTTATTGGTTGAGGTTATAATGCATATTTTATTCTAATAAAAATGTTTTAATTGCTTACTTTATAGAGTTAATATTTGAACATGATCTCAATTAAATCAACAGTAGTACTCGATCGCCTTTGACAAAATTTTATTTAAACTCCTGCTATTTTAAATCTAACTAAATTTATTCTATACCCAATAAAAAAAAAATCATCCAAATCTATCATTAATTAAGAATTTGTATTTAAACTGCTTCACCTGAGGAGCAGTACATAAGTCCCTTCTTATCTTTAGTCTAGATTCAGGCAATCATTATTCATAATAATAATAATAATAATAATAATAATAATAATAATAATAATAATAATAATAATAATAATTCCTCTAAATCAGACTTAAGAGGAATATCTTTTGTATTATTTTTCCCTTAACGTCATGTTATTTTCCGCTTAACATCTTTTTTTTAAATTGTTCTCTAATTTCTTCGTTGTCTAAGTTCCACTTAAAGTAGGTTTTAGTAACATAATAATAATAATAATAATAATAATAATAATAATAAAGTTAAGGGGAAAATAACACAAAAGATATTCCCCTTAAGTCCAAATTTCTCTAAATTTGACTAAAGCCGTATTTACACTAGACACGATTACAACACAACGACACGATACATATGCGTGCAATGTTAAAACAATACAAACGCGATGATATGTCATTGTCGTGTTGTAAACCTGTCTAGTGTAAATGTGGCTTTAAGGGAAATATCTTTTGTGTTATTTACCCCTTAACATCATCATGAAAAAATTATTCACAACCAACAGCATGTGACTCACTATGTAATTGATGCTTTATAAACTAAATCTCAGTATCTGAGTGGTAGTTTTTGTAAAACAAAATTGAGAGGATTTGGGCTCTGAACCCTGGGACTGTAAAGCAAGCATCTTAAATCCAACACTCTATACCACAATTGCAACTGTTTTCTAAGTATATTCTTATGGACTTAGATACAAGATATTGAAAATAATGTTAATTAAATAAATTTGTCTACCTCTTGATTTTTCTTCTAGTATTTTAGCAAGTTCAAAATGTTGGCCTGCCTGGGCTTCTTGCTGGGCATTCTTGCCTCCTTTGTTTGGAATAGTTACGTCGACATTGAACTCCAACAGAATCAAACACGCTTTCTCATAACCTCTGTAGGCAGCCAGATGAAGTGGGGCATCTCCGTTCTGGTTTTGAATATTTGGATCAGCATTACTACATTTGAAATAAAAAGTGGTTTAGTATTTTGATAGTGGCAAATTGAATGGGAATTATCATGTCCACACTATCAAATTTTATATGACAAGAACATGTGACAAGGTGACATTATATCATTTCCATATATGGACATACAACTGTTATTTTGTCAGAGAAAAAGTTGATAATCAGGACAGACCTTTAGAACTCTTCCAGTTGAAACAAAATTGTTGAGAATAAAAATAAACAAATAATAAAAAAGTGTGGGCAATCAGTGTCACATAGAAGGATATGATATCATATAAGACTTGAAAACTATGAAACTATTTCTTACTGTTCAAGTAATAACTTCATGCATTCTGTGTGACCTCTATCAGCTGCGGCATGGAGTGCAGTTGACCCCCACTTGACAGTCACATTAACATCCGCAGCAGCATCTAACAAGACCGATATGACAGATGCGTGGCCACTGAAATATCATAAACAAAACCGATTCAAAATGACATTTAAACTATGTATCTTTTTTTTCATTAACTGTATATGAAAGCTTAATTCCAGATGTTACAATAGCTCTATAATTATACATGAGTGCTGATATGTAAAAGGGTTCCAAACACAAGCAATGTATACAAATCCACTTGTGATCCACTAACAAAAACGAGACTGGTTGTTCCTGCTTATGTTAAATTAAAATTGTAGGAAAAATAGGTTAGAAATTTGAATGAGTTTTCATCATAATAACAACACTTTAACGATTCAAAAACCTGATCAAATATTAGGACCACAAAAGGCATTATTTGCCTCAGCATTGGTTTACCAAAATACATCAAATACAAAGAAAACAGAAATCATATTCAAGGGTTGGCAAGGGTTTCAGGTGCCTATGGTTTATTCAGCAGTATTATAGAGGGATTATAATAATGATATACATTCAAACATTTCAGAGAGAAATATTTTATGCTTTCAAATCAGTACCACTTTTAAGCTAAGCTTAAACAAGTTCTCTTCTTTGAAATTATTCGTGCTACTTAAATTCCGCATTCTGAACATTTTGCAAACAAAGACAAAGTCATAGCAAGGACCCACTGGCCCATATATATATCATGGGTGAACTCACCTGAAAACATTTTTTCAGCCGGTATAAATACAGTATTACAATGAAATGCTTTCAAATAGAAGGGCCCTACTTTTTTTAATATCTAACTATCACGTAACTTCAGGTATTATATCAAACATTCAAATTATGGTTTTAAATCCAGCCAGATGCCCCATCTTTGGGGGGGGGATCGTGGGGGGGGGGGGGGGAGATTGACGTTTACATTGTGAGTGAACTCTCCAGAGCAATAAGAAAGACTTTTTGAGTGTTATAATCTGTAATGAATAGTTACAGCCCAAATTTGCAACTATTAACTACTTTAACACGGATGTGATTGTAGCATCCAAAGGGTCTCTATTACAAAGCATAATTGATGTCAATATCAGAAAACATTGTTTTCACACACATTTTTAAATTACACTTTTTATGTTTTAAGGTTGGTCTCTATATATACATTGTCTGTATTTAACATTTTTCTATCTTTGTCAATTTAAAGTCAGAGGTATGTCCTAGTCTTGACCCTTAAACGTAACTATTAGATAGGCTTATCTTCATATGACTTCTACGAATGTATATTGTTTGAAACAAGAAATCTAGTTGTTTACCCAGTACTGCGCGATAATATTATTCGGTGGGATTTTTTTCATAGCACTGAACATATAATTATAAAAATATGAAAAACTATAGAAACAGTGCTCACATTTTAGGAACAAATGAAATGTATCATAGCCATCAATGAAAAAGTTGTGCAAAAAAGTGTCTCTAGCGGGATTCAAACCTGTGACCTCTCACTGACAAAGAAATAAGCTATACACTATGGATTATGAATCTTTTATAGATTATGTTTTCCCAAATATGGCCATCAGGTGGGAATACCAAAATACAATTTGAGTTGGGGAATTTTTCTTATGCAGGAAGGGGAAAATCAAACATTTATGATGAGTTTAGGTTTACTCTGTTAAAGGTTTGGTAGGTATATTTCTGAATTCTCTACCAGTATTGTCTTAAACAGGATGCAACCACATCAATGCTATTGGAATTCTCAAAAACTGACAAGCGTTATAAGCGGATTTGGCAACATTCCAAGTTTATCTCTCTCCCTGCAACCTTTCATCCACAACGAAACTATATAGTGTAAATAAGATTTTATAAGTGTTTCAATACTCTATTTCCTGGTTCTCTGAGGAAGACCAATGCAATGGCGGTAAGATTTTATGGAGGAGTAGAACAGAATGTTGAACAGTGCTGAAGATGAAGGTATAGGGTTAACTCGAGGACCAACTCAATTTTTAACAGAACTGTAAAAGTCTCCATGCCATCACCAGGCATTGCTTTCATCATTAATCTTTCCAAATTTGTTTTCTTTGTATTTGTCTACCGTTGCCTCCTCCATTATATTTACTAACTGTACTAGAAATGGTTCTTATAAAAAAATAAAAAAAACACATTTTGACATAAGAAGAAACTGACAAATATTATTTTAGAGTGGTACGTCAGTACTATCTTTGTTTGCGAAGTAAATGTTTAATTAACGCCAACTGTTCTGTGTACACAACCGCTTTATGATATGTACTCTGTTATGAAATGTGTAGTACACTGTCATGGGAATGTTAATGATAAGATGTTTACACAAATTATACCGATTCAAAACATATTTGTATTATAGCATAGCTATCATTTGCACGGTGATAAGAGAGTAACTGTGAGAAAAAATGTTTTGAAACACGGATATAGAAAAACTAAATTGTGATCATGGAAATTAATTATGCTGCAGAGCTACCCTGGAATCTAATAAATCACAATTATTATAATTATTGACATGTCTTTGGTACATTAAACACAAACCATGGGCTTGTTCTAAATATAGATTTCTTTATTTTCACATTTAGGCTATGTGTTTGGTTTCTCTCCATCTGTGAATTTTTTCATGTAAATATATATATGCAAATATAAATCGAATAGATAGTAATACAGTGCTTAAATATATAAGAACATGATGTTATAAATCAGGTCAAGCACTAAGGTCATTGAAAGTTCCTTATTATAGCTGTATGAAAGAAAAGGTCTCTGGTGGGAATTGAACCCGTAATCTCTTGATAACTTGGAAGGCGTTATACGTTTAGACCACAGAGGCCCGTAGGATATCATTATGGATCTAAGACTAGTCTCTCTCCCTCCATACAGTACAACTTGAGGGCTCACACATAGTGGAGCCAATTTTAGCTACATAACAGCTTGTAGCAGCTGGTAAATCATAGTAAACAATATTCAAATCAAGTTGCTGCTTAGCAATGGGAACACAAACAACATATCAAATAGTTAATTATACAGTGCTCAAATATATAGGAACATGATGTTATAAAAGCATATATAGTTCAACAAAAGTCCCTATTATAGTAGTTTGACAAAAAAAGAGGTCTAGGGTGGGAATTGAACCTGCAATCTATCGCTATCTCAGCGAGTGTCATACCTTTAAGACCACTGAGGCCTGTACCCTATCATTACAGATCTAAGACCACTAGTCTCTCTCCCTTCATACAATAAATTTGAGCACTATATTATAACTATTTGATTTATACATTATTTGTGCTCCCATTGTATACACATCTAGATGTGTATAAGAGACAGAATGTATATTGTTTGAAACAAGAAATCTAGTTGTTTACCCAGTACTGCGCGATAATATTATTCGGTCTCTTATACACATCTAGATGTGTATAAGAGACAGAGATAGCGCAGTGGCAGGTTGTGAACTTGTATCAGTCTATCTCAATATTAGTGTCAATATGACATCTACCACCTTAAGCACAAACCCAAAATAAACAAAACAACTCTTCCCACCTCCCAAGCCTCAGTAACACACTACATGAGTGAGGTTCAGATGGACTCAAACTCAAACATTTTGAAAAACAAACCATTTCTAACGACTGTACTTTCATTATCCTGTGTATATACAGTACTATAGTTTCAATTATGCTTGGACATTGGCCAAGTAAGACACTTTGTTGACTACAGTATAACATGCTCAGATATCCAGGGTAGTAGAAATGAAAATAATTATAAAATCAACAATAACATATTGTCAATGTTGAGCTTTTAAACTTGAATTGCTTCATACAAATGAAAATTAGAAAAGAAAACACTTTCTTTGCCAATTTATGCATTTTAATACCATTCTTTGCATTAACCTATAAATTGGCTGGTAAACATATGTGTAATTGTCTACATAAATCCCTGTAAACCAGCAATTTTGTTTGATGTGTTTTTCATAAGGTAGGAAGTTGACAACTGTTTCTATTGAACATTTAAGTGTTTTTCAAGATTATATGACCAACCGTCGCTTAATAACCAGACATATGGTCACATGTACTATGTGAACATTTTATGTGTCATTTTGACAGAGTGCGCCATTAAACTAAGCCTCTCATTATTAAAATAGAATGATTTTACTGACTATTGCAATACTATATATAACCTGTTAACAAAAATATGTAACTCCTCCAAATGTGAAAAAAAAAAATTACGACCAATAGCAATGAGATATTTAGAAAGGTCACGCCATGTCACACTCAATTTTGAAATTCTGTATCTGCCCAAATTTAACATGCTTTTTCTGATTATTTATAAAGTAAAACAGCTACTGGGTTTGATTGAATATTGTGTATAACATTTCATGTAGTGTAGGTATTATTAAGAAAACTTTTAAACTTTGGCTGGACTCATTAATAAGTGTATATTTATTTTTGCTCAAAATGTTATGAAATAAAAATATTAGAATCATACTGTACTAATAGTACATTAACAACTTTTAGCCTATGAAATAAATTAATGTAAAGATCACTGTTCATCCCTTCCTTTTCGCTGCTTTTCTATTTTATTGTGTTTGTCACTTATTTTTGTCACTGTGCAGTGATGAAGCGTAATAAATAAATTTTAAAAAATAAAATAAAAAAAATAAAACTTGAAAAATAACATACCTGCAAGCTGCCCAGTAGAGGGCAGTGGCACCATCTTTCTGATCGCGGTAATTGACATCAACCCCGAATCTAAGCTGCTGTTTTACGTTATCTAACAACCCATTTTTGGCACCGAAGATCAGATCTGCCATCCTCGCATCTTTGACTCATCTCCAAATGTCCCTTCAATGATAACATCGAGTGCACCGATTCAAATGTAACTACATCTGAAAGAACAACAACATGAATAGAGATGAGGGTGCACATCAACTTTCTCACATGTACGACCACTTATCTGGCCCTGCAACCACACCCAGTGGCCCGGCTTACAGCAGATCTGATGACCAGATCGGCAAGCTGGAGATGCTGAGATTAATTTCTACATTCCAGTCAATTGAAAATTTGAAAATGGTACTGTAGATGTTAACAACTGAAACTGTCATTCGTAAGTTTCAAATCAATATACTGTATATATTGTACTACTGTACATCTGAAAGAAATAGAAAAGGAAGCACAGGTTATTGACTAGATTTAGTATTCTCTCAAACCAATTCATACGCTTGTATGAACATATAAGGAAAGCCGGTAGGTATTAAATAGAACAGTCATCCGGCAGACTTTGAAATTTACTGTGATGTCATTCAAACGAAGGTTATTCCGGATTCTCACACTAACCTATTACCATACCATTATGGAATGCACTTCTGCTGGAAATATTATCAACACCTACTGGTAAAATATTTTTTACTATAAAATCAATCATTAAAAAAATATATTTTGACATGCAGTCCTGCAAAATGCAAGGGGCCACCTATACATTGTCACACAGGTGATTAGATTATACAAGAAAAGAACATGGCAACAAATTCAACATCACGGGTAGATTCAATGGGGCCCGCCAGCCCGCAACAGCAAAAATGGTGGAAAAAATGAAATGCCATAAAATATTCTAACTCAGCCCAGCCATGGTGGGACTGAGGTGGTATAAACTTTTGATATGTAAGAGTCCCTACCGGGTCTCCTCTATTTTGAATTCCTGGATCCGCCACTGAACACGTACTCTCATTTGTTGAATTTTGGCTTAAAGTAGTGAGCTATACTGTAGTTTCAGTGGCGGATTCAGCAGGGTGCCATGAGGGCCCGTGCCCCTCTCCCCCGTCAGTCAAGCCGAAAAATTAAAAAGAGGGAGAAAAATTTTAATTAAATAGAGGAAACATGAAAAAAAGGAGTGCACCATGAGTTCAGTGGTGATCCAGCAGTGAGAGAATGGGGAGCTAGATTGTTTACCACTTATTTGCACCAACTATGGTGGGACTGAGGTCGCCGTGGCTGCTTTTACTTCATTTTGTGCCCCCAGTCCAGATTATCAAATTGTCTTTCGCAAAAAAACTGTTGTATACCCATATATAGCCATCATGTGCCTATATATGGTCATGATCAGATTTCACCATGACCATATTTAGGCATGTCACATGTTTTGGTAAAATAAAATTTGATACAGTAGTCTCTGGTAGGACTCAAGGGAAGGAGCTGGAAAATATTTCCGCCAACATAATTATTACTGTAAGATGTTTCCTTCCTCCATATTCCAAAAATAGCATTCAAACTTCCCATACCATTCCCAGTTGCAGATCCATGAATTTTAAATAGAGGGGACCCAAGGATTGACTTGGACAGATGGAGGGTCATACCACCTCAGCCCCACCATGGTTGCGGCTGAGCTGAGGCAAGAAATTTTACGATTATGTCGCCTCTAGATGGCCGGAAATGGCACTTTCAGAGTTAAAAATTTGAATATAATTTTTATTTTTCCTCCAATTTTTATAATTTTGAAAAATTTAGAGAGGGGGAGGGAACCTGGGCTGGATGGAACCCCCTTAAATCTGCAACTGATTCCAGACAATACAGTAAATACAATATACAGCACTGTACCATCCATAATACATACTATGATGTACTACTACAACCTATTTCATGCTTTTTTTTATCTACAATATTATATACCATAATAAATCTATTAAATGTCATTGTCATTTTAAGCTATCATATACAGTACTATATTAAGTAATCCACATCTACTTACCACATGCATATAAAATAAGCTCTATACCTTTCTGCTTGTTTTATTAATAACAATAATAAAACAATCAGGTAAAAATAATGCAAATCCATTAGCTCCGTGTGAACAACGAGGTGGAGAGTATCTCAAAGTTGAGTGATATGATGAAGAAACTAGCAAATCGCGTAACCAGGCCACAATAAGGCCACTGCAACAGTTCACAGAAAACAATATTTAAACTGAACAATATGATGTATAGTGTACTGTACCATATCCTGGATTTGAGGCCAACAAGATTAATGGCAATTGCAATGACAGATTTTGAAATCACATCAAGTTTTAAGGATTTGGTTTGCATTGAAGGTTCATAGTCCTTGACGAATTAATTATTATTTTCAGCATTAAAGCTAACATCCTGGATTCAATCAGAAACTAACTTTGTTCACTCACAAACTGTATATTTTAACTTGTAGTACTTATGAACTTATATGCCGCAACAGGCATTCGATACTTAATTAAACAAAACCAGAAAATAATATTGTAATGGAATATTCCAAGATTTTGAAATCACATCAAGTTTTAAGAATTTGGTTTGCATTGAAGGTTCATAGTCCTTGACAAATTAATTATTATTTTCAGCATTACAGCTAACATCCTGGATTCAATCAGAAACTAACTTTGTTCACTCACAAACTGTATATTTTAACTATTAGTACTTATGAACTTATATGCCGCAACAGGCATTCAATACTTAATTAAACAAAACCAGATAATAATATTGTAATGGAATAATCCAAGATCCTGGTGCATAAACTGAGAATGGATAAACCCTTTGGCACTCGCAAGCCATTCAATTATACATCAAAGCAACCAACATGCATAGAGTATCGAGCATTTTGATACTTAAACAAAACCAGCAATTAAAATTATAATGATGTATTTCAATATCCTGAATAGAACCTACTTCTCAAAACACTTGCAAAAGTATAAAGTACACAGAATAAAGAGGAATTATAATAAATAGGAATTTGAAAATTTACAAATTGAATTTACATTTGCATCTGTAATGAAATATTTCAATTTGATTTCTGATTTATGGTTTTAATAAAACATTATACAAGGCTTTCTCCTTCCTCTTCCAAAGAATTTCAACGAGAATAACAAAAATAATAAAAATAATAAATACTACTACTGTATATATATTTAAGAACAAAAATATCCATTTGAAAAGTAAATTCTCCTAACCTTGCATTAATGGAATTCATTGAACTGTGATGATTTAATACTTTGTAATACTTAATAACTGACTAATCAGAATGCAGACAGAAATGCACTCATGTCCCACAAACACATATGTTTAGGCCAAGTAAAAAAAAAAAAATGTTTCTCGTCCTTGAAAAAAAAAGAATGAGGGCAATTTTTCTTCTTTTTTTTTTTAAACTCTGAAATGGCAAATCCAAGATGCTCGATGGGAAAAAGCTACTACTTTCTCACTTTTACCAAGTAGGCACATTGAAAGCAAATATAAGAAGCACTAGACATGATTCACATCATATGTGGCAAAGACAAGCCAAACCAGTCACTCAAAATAGATTTTTAGTTATTAATACAGTGTTAAACAGTAAAATGAGAGCTATAAAATAGTAAATCATTTAAAATCAAGAATCAGTTAAATCCGATATTTTGTTATGAAGTTACAGGAGTTTAAACATACAGCTGTTTAAAGAACAATGGGCTTATTCGACTGGTTCATTTCGTTAAGTACGAATTTTCATTGAGTATTATTTTTATTCGACTGGTTCGTAAAATAGACTTCATTGACAACGAAAATTAACATAACCAGAATGCGTTAATCAGCATTAAATTGTGCAGGTGACCAAAAAAATATGGTCGATTGGTCAGTTTAATAATTTGCTTTAATATAATTTAGATTAAATTTCAGAAAATATAAATTATAATATTTACCCACAATGAAGTCAAAAAATAAATGTAGGCTAACAGAATTCAAAAACTGGATAAAAACATTTTTTTATGAAAAACCCATACTGCCACAATTCGAAGCAGCCTTGATTATGCAGCGTGTATTGCGGTAATACTATGCAGCCATTTTGGTTTTCTATACGACTGGTCGTCTTTGTTAAGTAGGATTTTACCACTGCGCAGGTGGGCGTGGTTTAACAAAGAACGACCAGTCAAATACGACCATTATCTGAGAAATCAGCTTCCAAAGTTTACGATTTTGGGCATTTCTCAGGCAGAAACCATCACCAAATCGTTAAAAATCATTGTTTTAACATTGGAAATGGGGAAAATAACAGCATAGCATGATGTATAGATATAAAGGTTAGTTTAGTACAATAAAATAGATTTCCAAAATTTATATTCCAGCATGTTTTGGCCAATATCTCGGAAACGGGATTTGCGACGAGTGACTGGTTTAGCTTGTCTTTACCACATATGTATCCCGACCACGATCGATCAAGAACAGGACTTTTACTGATGTGAGTTAGCAAGATTTTCATACATTTTGTAAAATAAAGAAAATAAAAAAAAATTTTAAAATTGGTAAGGCAGAGAAAATGGATGTGTGAGGGGACGAGAAACCAGTAATTTATTATATCTGGCCTTATAATGTTGATGATTGAAATTTTGTAGGACCTTAGCAACAACCATCCATGAAGCAGGTCTTAGTGGTGGTCCATAGCAATGCACTGTATTTACATTTGAGACCATTTTGATATTAAGTACCCCTGACATGAAATAAAAGGATGTAATTTTAAATATATTTAAAATAACATGACCTTTACAGGAAGGATGTTAAGAAGTGGAAACCTTTTAGTTGGCATCGATTCAAATATATTACAGAGCTGTGTGAATTCTTATCATCTAGTAATTAAAAATGATGTTAATACTGCCAAAAATCCCTGTTCAATGCATACTGAGAGTAAACAAATAACCAATATTTTCGTAAGCAGTAAAAGTACATTAATACCACAAAAAAGGTAGATGCAGCAAAAAAATACATTCTGTACAAGTTTATAATGCTGAATGACAATGCATAAAACACAATCAAAGTAGGTGAGACAGTTTACCTTAGCACAATATCACAAAACCCACCTAAAAAAAGAGACAGTTACAATGAATGATCTAATTTCTTGAGGGAATATA